TATAAAAAAGTTATAGCCAATTAAACAATAAAAACCTGAAAAATTTTGCGAAAAATCAAGTTTGCGATATTTTTTAGCAATGTTACCGCTAAAAAATCATCAAACAAATATGATCAGAGGTGATCATGACTATCAAAGTATCTCCAGGAATTTTGGAGGAATTTTTGAACCACTTTTTCCAACAAAATGGTGGCAAAATAAAAAAAAATCCATAAAAAACATTTCTCATTTTTTATCTCGGAAACCATTAAGTTTAGATGAAAAGTTTATTGAACAAAAAAGTCTTAGAAAACGAGAAATACGTCTGAATTTTTTCAGAATTTTCCGAGGTGATTTTTGAATTTTCGAAAAATACGGAAAATCCATTTTTCCAAAATCATCTCCAAAAATTCTGAAAAAATTCATGCGTATTCCTTGATAAATTCTAAGATTTTTTGTTCCATAAACTTTTTCTCCAAACTCAATAGTTTTCGAGATAAAAAGTGAGTTAGGTTATAATCCTAGCAGCGTTAATATTTTTGATACAGAATAAAGAACAGCCATTCAACAATAATATAATAATGTTTTGCCTTTTTATGTGTATACAAGTGCAGTTTGTATAGCGTATACTAATATACATATATCAAAAAAGCAATTCAGAAAATTGTATGTGAGCTCATTTTTATTACTTACTAGTCTCTTGTTATTTTGAGACCATACAGTAAATCGAATCGAAAAGATTATTTTCGCTTTCTAAAGTCTAGGTTTGACAAGAAGCATTGAAAACTGTAGTAATTATTTTCATTAGGTATTTTTATTATTTTATATAACATGTCGCAAAAGCGTAAAAGACGTTCCACTCGCTCCCATGAAATGTACGAAATTGATACTTCAAAGAACACTTACGATAATATAGTTACCCTTCCAAATCCTGACAATTCTGGTTCTGATGGATCAGATTTTGATACTGATTCGGATGATGAAATTTCTAATATAACGTACACAGAAGCTTGTAAAACATATACTGAAACTCAAACTAAATTAGAAAGAACGCATGAACTCCAGTGGATGGAAGGAGAAAAAAAGTATAATGATTTGAAAGACTCGGTAAAAAATAAAATACAAGAAATGAAGCCAGTAGAACTGTTTGAAACATTTTTCTCAACTGAAATGAAGCAATATATTATAGATGCTTGCAAAGAAAATAATTTTGATTTAAAGTTAAAAGACTTAAATATATTCGTGCGAATAATCATTTTGACTTCATTCAACAAAAGGAAATCTCAGAGGGATTACTGGTCACGTGATCCCTTTTTATCTTGTAACGTTGTTTCTTCTGCTATGTCACGTAATAAGTTTGAAGAGATCAAATCAAAATTAAAATATTCACAAACGAAAGATAAAAATCCAACAGACTATGCTTGGCGTGTCCGTTCACTATTAAACCTATTAATAGTTTATTGAAATCAATATTATGAAGTTCGGTGTGTGGAGAACTGCTCTTTCCATCGATGAAATGATGGCTAAGTCTTATGCGAGGACGGTTCTAAAACAATTCATTCGAGAAAAACCCATACGATTTGGTCTCAAATTCTGGGGTCTTTGTACTTCCGATGGTTTTGTATTAGGTCTTGACTTATACTGCGGAAAAAATTCTACAACGGGAAGTAAATTTAGTAAGTGTCATTAGGTTCTCGTGTTGTCATGAATTTACTAGAAAAGTTTTTTCGTGTTATACCTCCGGGCAAAATATCTATGTTCCATCTTTATTTTGATAATTATTTCACAAGCTTAGATCTCGCTGTGCATTTGAAGAAGTTTGGGCTAAAATGTACAGGTACTATTAGAGAAGATAGAGTCAAAGATAAAAATGTTCTAAATAAAAAAGCTCAAAGAGGTGAGTGTGCCGTGAAGCACGATAAGAACAGTGGTATAAATTACATCACTGTGATGGATTCAAAACCAGTTTCGATTACGCAGGCCGACAGAATTTGACAAAAATATTTTACCAAGAACCCGAGTATAGTTTTCCGAAATTTTTTTGCGCGCTGAATCCGAATCCGAGGTCAGAATTACTCTGGTGGCTCCGGTTTTCGAGATATCCTAACCTAAAGGTGCAAAAAAACGCGATTTTTGCCTATATTTGAGGTTATGTAGCAAAGAAAAGAAATTTTTTTTCAAAAAACTGTATACATCAAATTAAAGTATGAGTTTTCTTCTTTCAAATGCCGTTGAGTATGCTCGGATATCTTTTTTTTTCACGAAGTTACACAAATTTGAAAATTTCAAATTTTATGAATTTAAAAAGCACCACATCATTCAGCCCAAGCTATCTAACAAGTAACCATATTAAAGAGCCACTCACCAATTTAAACCAAACTTGGAAATATGACAAAACACTAAAAAATATTGTGAGCATCGTGCTTCTATTTACAAAATGCTCTCTTACGGGTAGAAACCACCCCTGCCAACCCCTAAACAGGCTCACCCACATAACCCTGGGTAGAGCAAGTTTAATTAACTGCTTTTTGATAAAAAAACTCATTTTCTAATCACAGGTATGCGTACTAATATGATCTAAATAGGCCTCATCCCCAAATACCTCCTCAACCCTTTAAAACCAGCCCTCCCAACCCCTAAGCAGGCATACCCACATGACGCTGGGTAGAGTAAGTTAGCCAAGTGCTTTTTATTTCAAATTTGTGTAACTTCGTGAAAAAAAAAGATATCCGAGCATACTCAACGGCATTTGAAAGAAGAAAACTCATACTTTAATTTGATGTATACAGTTTTTTGAAAAAAAATTTCTTTTCTTTGCTACATAACCTCAAATATAGGCAAAAATCGCGTTTTTTGCACTTTAAGGTTAGGATATCTCGAAAACCGGAGCCACCAGAGTAATTCTGACCTCGGATTCGGATTCAGCGCGCAAAAAACCTTCGGAAAACTATACTCGGGTTCTTGGTAAAATTTTTTGTCGGCCTGTGTTATTTCTCTGCTGCAGGGGTAACTCCATTATCCTTTTCAAATAGATACAGTAAGCAAGAAGGAAAAAAAGTTGAAATACCTTTTCCGAGGGCTATTAGCGTCTATAACAGTTTTATGGGTGGCAATGATGTCCACGACGGACATTGTAACAATTTACTTCCGAGTATTCGTTTAAAAAAGTGGACGTGGGTAGTTTTTTTAAGACTAATTCAAGCTTCGATTGTAAATGCTACTGTACTATTCAATGCTGTCAATGATGAGAAAAAAAGGGTTGGAACAAAAGATTTTGCACTTTCAATAGCTAAAAATTACATGACGCAGAGACAATGCAAAAAAGAGAAACACAATATGTCCAAACAAACAAAACTCAAACTTTGTTCTTATTGTCCTGTAAAAACGAGAATTATCTGTGAAAAATGTGATTTATCGATTTGTGTTGAATATTTCAAAAAAAAATTCGTATTGCAGTGAGAGGCAAGGGGACTCACTCAAATCAAGCACCTCGAAAAGTGAGAGGCAAGGGGACTCACTCAAATCAAGCACCCCAAAGGAGACAAAATTCTACTACGTCCTCGTCGTTATCTCTGGGTCATGCTAAGAGTAGAACGTTTTTTATCTCGAAAATTATTGAGTTTGGAGAAAAAGTTTATGGAACAAAAAATCTTAGAATTTATCAAGGAACACGCATGAATTTTTCCAGAATTTTTGGAGATTTTGGAAAAATGGATTTTCCGTATTATCCGAAAATTCAAAAATCGCCTCGGAAAATTCTAAAAAAATTCAGGCGTATTTCTTGTTTAATTCTAAGACTTTTTTGTTCAATAAACTTTTCATCTAAACTTAATGGTTTCCGAGATAAAAAATGAGAAATGTTTTTTATGGATTTTTTTTTTATTTTGCCACCATTTTGTTGGAAGAAGTGGTTCAAAAATTCCACCAAAATTCCTGGAGATACTTTGATAGTCATGATCACCTTCGATCATATTTGTTTGATGATTTTTTAGCGGTAACATTGCTAAAAAATATCGCAAACTTGATTTTTCGCAAAATTTTTCAGGTTTTTATTGTTTAATTGGCTATAACTTTTTTATAACGCAATCAATCGCAATTTTGAAAAAAGATTCTGAAAGAGCGTTAAATTTCCCATCCAAATACGTGTTTGCAAAAATTTCTTAGGCCTATGACTACCGAAAAAAACGCGTTGAAAATCGACAAAAAAATTGAGCATTTTGGTCGTTAATGGGTTAAGGAGTTTTGAAACAAGCTGGTCTATTTAAGACGCTGAGATGGACAATTAATTAACGCTTTAGTGGCCAATTAATTGCATCGTATATTTGGTCTGGTGAGACGCATGTGTTAATGTGTGAGCTGGTACACGTGTGGTGTGTACGTGTGTGTAGCCCTGAGGCTTTGTGAAACAACATGAGGTAGATTATGAAATAATACAATAAATAGGAGAAAGAGAAACAACAATCGATAGATACATATTTAACTTAAGTTCTAATTTGGTGCAAATCTTTGGTTTGCTGAATCACGCAAGACTAGATAAGTCGGAAGACTGAGTTTCCGTTGGAGGGACTGCCTTGTTTGATTAAATTACACACAGAATCATACATACAAACGAGTTTCTTATATCTTAAGTGTACAACGTAACGAAGTATTACATGAAATCAGATTTGATGCGTTATTTTACGATCAACGTTAGAAGAAGGCGGAGTTTCCTTTGGAGGGATTGCCTTGTTGATTACAATGTGATTACAGTCCATACACTGGAATGGACATCAATTATTTACAAGTGTTTTCGTTGACCTAAGTATACTTGACTAGGTGAGACAATGAGATCAGGATACCGCGCGAACAAGAGTCGATTCTCTTGGCCTTCTGGCTACAGAGAACTCAGCCTCTGCATGTCGCGGGCCAGGCTTATTGCTCACAGAATACGAAAGGGCTCAACTCTGATACGGCAAGCCAAATCGCGCACATCTGTGGCACTTAGTTTCGAGGGATGACTTGTTGTAATACTTTTGATTTCCTTAAAGAATAGGTAGAATACAAAGTCGAGTGATATTCCTTTTGTATGTGCCCGAAGCAGTCTTGACTGATGCAACTCGGGCGATGTGGTCGCTTCCAGGGAACACCTCGAGGATGACACCTAATGGCCATTTTCCGCAAGGGACGTTGTCCTCGATGAGTAGGACTACGACACCGGGTTTTAGCTCTGAGGTGGATTGGTTCCACTTCTGTCGAACCTGTAGTTCATGTAGATATTCTTGATGCCATTTATTCCAGAAGTTCTGTCGAGCCTTGGACAGAAACTTGTACGTGGAGAGTCGATTATCTGGAACTGAAAGTAACGATTCTTCAGGCAAAGCATTTAAAGGTCTACCTATAAGTAGGTGAGCTGGTGTTATAGCTAGAGGATCGTTTGGATCTGATGACAAAGTGCAAAGAGGGCGGGAATTCAAGATCGCTTCGATTTCAATAAGAAGGGTATTCAATTGCTCATAAGTGAGTTGATTGTCGACAATGCGTCTGAGATGGTGCTTAAAACTTTTGACAGCGGCTTCTCACAGACCTCCGAAATGAGGAGATAGAGGAGGATTGAAATGCCATTCAATCCTTTTGGAGATGGCGTACTCTGTCAGACTCCTTTGAGTATCTTCTGAATTGAAGAATTTGAAGATGTCATTCAACTCCTTACAAGCTCCTACGAAATTGCTTCTGTTGTTGGAATAGACATGAGCCGGTAACCCTCTTCGAGCGATGAACCTGCGAAATGTGGATAAGAATCCGGGTGTGGAAAGATCGGTCGCCAGTTCAATATGCACTGCTTTGGAGGCTAAACAGATAAAAACACAGCCATAGGCTTTGAGAAAAGACCTATTTTTGTGAGCCTTCTCTTTGATATTAATAGGACCGAAGAAATCGACTCCGGTATGAGAAAAGGCAGCGGATTGACTAACCTTCGGTTCAGGCAGATCCGCCATCTTGGCATAACCAACTGGGGGATTTTGTCGGATGCACCTAACACAATCGCCGGTGATCTTTCGTACCTGAGACTTTCCATTGAGGATGAAGAATTTAATCCTAATAGCATAAAGGGTAGATTGAACACCAGCGTGAAGGTTAGCTTCGTGGTATTAACGGATGATCAATTGAGTCACATGATGATTAGAAGGTAGTAAAATTGGATGTTTCTGATCATATGGGAGCTGAGATTTGTTCAGACGACCTCCTACTCGAATTAGTTTGTCAGTTCCAATGAATGGGCATAACTTGTCGAAAGGAGTACCTTTCCGTACACCATTGATGAGTTCGGATAGATGACGATATTCAGTTGGAAAACCTTGTTTTTGAACAAGCGATAAAATCTTGTTCTCAGAACTAATAATTTCAGAAGTGAGCAAGGGTCGGACACATTCGACTTCTTTCCTCGTACGATCAGAAGGATTTTTGAAATCCGAACGTGATGGAGTGGATTTTTCTACATCTCGTGAAGGCTGTCTCCAACGAGATATGAGTGCTACAACTCTGACTAACCGTTCATACGATGAAAATCGTGAAAGAATGTCGTCACCAGTAGAAGAAGAAGACGAAGGAGCTATAGTCAAACACGATTCTTCCTGCAGCCCCGATAAATTTTGAGAGGATGGTGGATTTTGAAAAGGCCATTTGGATTCAGCCGAAGCCAACCAACTTGGACCAGATACCCATAAAGTGTTCTCGGCAAAGTCCGATGGCAGCTGGCCTCGAGAGAGGGCGTCTGCAGGATTGTCTTTGGATTGCACATGTCTCCATTCGACTTGATTGTTTAAAGATTGAAGATCGGCGACTCTGTTGGATTCAAACGTTCTCAAAAGATGAGGCGCTTTTTTTAGCCAACAGAGGACGATCGTCGAATCCGACCATAAAATACTTCGATTAATTAAGAAGTCTAGTTGTTTTTTGACTTCTACGTACAACCTTTTCAGGATTGATGTAGCGTATAATTCTAATCGCGGAATCGTAACTCCACTCAGGGGAGCCACCCTGGACTTGCTAGCGATAAGCCTGACCAAGGTGTTCTCCCGCGAATCAGTCGATTTCACGAAAAGACATGCTCCGTAGCCATGAAGAGAGGCGTCACAAAAACCATGTAATTCAATTTTGATAGGTTGCTGAAGCAATAATTGTCGAGGAAAGCAAAGATTTTGTAAGAGAGGTAGTTGGTTAGCCAGAGTCTTCCATTTTGAATGGATATCTTGGGGCAAGGACTCGTCCTATTTTACCTTGGCTTTCCAGCAGTCTTGAATTAAGACTTTGGCATATAAGCTTATGGGTCCGAGTAATCCGAGAGGATCAAAAATTTTAGATATTTCCGAAAGAAGTTTTCTTTTGGTGGATGAAGTTTGAGGATCGACTGGAGTCAAAGAATACTGGAACAGATCTTCCTGAGAATTCCAAACGATTCCCAGAGTTTTCTGCACCGTTCGTTCTTTAACTGCCGAGTCGAGGTCGAAGATCTTTTGTTCGATGGGATCTAATGCATCTGGGTGGTTTGAAGCCCATTTTCTGATGATGAAACCACCTCGTTGAAGCAAAGTGACCATTTCGTCTCGAATAGCAACTATCTCCTCGAGAGTGTCGGCTCCAGAAATGAAGTCATCGACATGAAAATCTCTCAAGAGAAGTTTACTTGCACGTGGGAACTGGTGAGCTTCGTCCCGAGCGAGTTGCTGAATAGTGCGAATCGCCAGAAATGGGGCAGAAGCCATGCCAAAGGTGACAGTATTAAGTTTGAATGACTGAATTTTTCCTTGATGATACCATAAAACCTTTTGGAATCTGCGATCATCTGGATGAACTAAGATTTGCCGGTACATTTTCTCAATGTCTCCAGTGATCACATAAGGATGAATGCGAAAGCGAAGGATTTGTTCGAAGATAGTGTTTTGAATGGTAGGACCAACCATCAGCACATCATTTAACGAAATATCAGTCGATGTTTTGGCTGACGCATCGAAAACTACCCGTAACTTGGTGGTTTCGCTGGATTCTTTATTCACAGCGTGATGAGGAAGATAGTATTCACCATCGAGACTGATTTCGTTGCACAGAACCATGTGACCCAAAGAGATGTATTCCTCCATTACCTTGGAGTACTCTTCCTTAAAGGATGGTTTACATTCAAATTTCCTTTCAAGGGCATGGAAACGAGTTAGGGCTTGTAGTTTAGACCCTCCTAGATCAAATTTGTTGTCCCGGAAAGGCAAACGGACGACATAACGACCTGAAATGGGATCACGAGAGGTGTGCTTGGAATAATGTTCCTCGCACGCAACCTCGTCTCGTGACTTGACAGGTTCGTGATCGAAATCTTCGATAATCCAGAACCGTTCAAGAAGCTTGTCAAGTTTGACGACGTTGCAAACACTTGAAGTTGAAGTAACGAGGTTATTTGTACCGCCAACAACAACCCAACCTAATAAGGTTTTTTGTAAACCGATAGTGGAATCATGATGATGTAGCTTTATTTGACCAACGTTCAATACTGAGAACGTTGTACTGGACGCCAGCAGAAGATCTACTGGCTTCGGAAGATGAAATTGAGGATCTGCCAGATGAATGTTACCAGGTATATTAAATTGATTTCGAAGAAAGGTGTCATTGGGCACGACTCCCGCAATATTAGGAACTATTAAACAATTTAATTGAAACTGAGAATTATTGTAAACTGACTGAAAAGTGATTTTAACGTGATATTTTGAAACAGTGCTCAATTTGTCAACTGCTCCAATCTTTACATAACAACTAAGCTTAGGCAAATTTAATGAATTTGCAAAATTTTCAGAAATAAGATTAACAGTGGAACAAGAATCTAAGAGAGTACGTGCTTGGACAAACTTTCCTCGCTGATTGCGGACCTTGATGACCGCTGTGGGCATCAGTTGTGAATTCGAAGAAAAGGCTATGGAACAATACGAGGGATAGACTAGTCATGATGATGGTTTGCTATCTTCTTGAGAAGATATCTTGTTATCGTGAAGAAGACTGTGATGGAATTTGTTGCACTGCTTACAACGCCCCTTATTGGTACAAGCAAAAGGATGGATCCTGAGACAATTGCGACAAATGCTGCTCGCCTTGATAAAATCAAAACGCTTCTCTGGTTGCAACTGGAGGAATTCGCTGCATTGATGTAACCGATGAGCGCCCTTACATTTAAAACAGACAAGAGTATGAGAATTTGAAGAATCAGAAGTGGAAGGTGAAGAAGCTGTGGTGGCAAAAGACCGACCACCTGTTTTGAAGTTCTTATTTGACCCTTCCGATGGGACCCTTCCGACTACTGGGTCTTTTGCGAGCGTGACTGTTTAAGCCAGAAGAATCCTCCAATGCCTGTAACTTGAAGACATTTTTCTCTAGGAATTTTAACAAATCGTCTAATTTGGGCAGTTTGTCGGTATCCAGATGGTCCTGCCAACGGCTCAATGCGGCCGGCAGTAGACAACGTTCAACGACCCTCACCATAAAGTCTTCGCCTGATCCGGCATCGAGACGAGTCAGAATGTGAGAGTGTTGACGAGTCCTATCCACCAACAACGAAAACCCATCGGCAGTAGCACTGGTCAGTTTTGAAAGATCAAGAATGGCATTGAGATGGTGAACGGCGACGAGGCGCCTTTGGTCGTAAAAATTGAGCAGGGTTTGCCAGGCCTTCATATAACTACCTTCGCAAGGATCATAACGAGATACCTTGTCGAGGGCTTTCGAAGTCAAATGGGCAAACAACTGACTAGCCTTGACTGCGTCACTGATATCAGTTCTTTCATGAACCAGAGCAATGAATTTGCTCTTGAACTCCGCCCACTTCTCTCTGTTACCATCAAATGAAGGTAGCTGAACTTGAGGAAGTCGGGGTAGTTCCAGATGCGACGTCAAGGTTACATTACTCGCATTGCTTGCTTGTAATAAGGTAGAGTTACTCGCAGGATGGAAAGATTGTACTGACCTCGATGGTTGCTTGCTTGCCATCAACACGCCAGCATCGAAATAGCGGGTATCGAGTTCAGAAAAGGTGTCAAGATAGGTGTGGTCTGGTACTAAACCAGCCAATTCGTCATTATACCCTAACATGGCTTTGTAAAGGGATTGGAGATTTTCAAATCTCATTTTTGCGTTCATTGGGTCGCAATTAGGTTCTTGCAACAGAACCTCAAGTTTAGAAAGTTGCATCTGGAATGTCTGCCCCTTTCTAAGAATGTAGGCGACACGCTGTTGTTGATTTTGATTTAGCGACATTTTGGATTAAAAAATGAAAGAACTAATGTAACTAATTCTAGATATGATAATAAAATATAATAAACAAAACGTGTAAATAGCAACTTAATTTACTTAATGTAAAACAAATAATACTACTATACTTTTCAATAAAGCAAACAAACTACTTGAAACAAATAAATTAATTCAAATTAATTAACACGAAATTAACTTATTAATAAAAAACTTGAATTTAATTAATTAAGCAAGAAAACACAATAAAAGAAAAAACTGAGAAGAAAAAAAATAAAAAATAAAAAAAGAGTATATCAGTGTCGATTGTCACCTCGGACGCAAAAGTGACAACAAGTCCTAAAAGGTTGCTCGTGCAACACTCCGAGCCTAACTTCTAATGGGATTGATATTTTACCGACAATTATGACGAACGAAAAAAAAAAATGAGGAAATTCTAACGAATGATTAAATAAATTATGATGAACAAATAAATAAAGAATAAAATAAAAGGCAGAGGATGAAAGTATATCAACCTCAAAGAAAGTGTACCTTCTTGGAAATAGAACCACTTATCTTGTATTGAAGTTCATGCGGCAGCCTGGTGGAGCGTTCCTGGAAGCGACCGAAAAGGCTGGCAAGAAAGACTTGGCTGTTGAAATGTATTTGTCCTTTTGATGAGTCCTTATGACGCAATATACCGAACGCACTAAAGTCCGTAAACCGAGCAGCACAATGATATCACTCTGTTTTTTTTTTTTAAATGAGGGATCAAAATCAAACCTCACAAGAGGCACCATGTTTTGACGTGTAAGTCGTTATGCCCTAGGCGGCATACCCGCTTTATGTTTTTAGATTTACGAAGAATGAATTTTGGGTTATTGGAATTTTTAGTATTAATTATTCGAGGTGTTTTAAAATAAAATAGACACTAGGTTTTTGTTTGGGAAAAAAGCCTAGATGAGCCATAAAAAAACCCAAATTTATTTACGAACAAAATGAATAGATTGATATCACGGCACCACAGATACAATCACACGTAACTCTCATGCATTCAACACACTGAATTAAGGAGTTTTGAAACAAGCTGGTCTGTTTAAAACGCTGAGATGGACAATTAATTAACGCTTTAGTGGCCAATTAATTGCATCGTATATTTGGTCTGCTGAGACGCATTTGTGGTCATCTGAGACGCATGTGTTAATGTGTGAGCTGGTACACGTGTGGTGTGTATGTGTGTGTAGCCCTGAGGCTTTGTGTATTTTGAATTTTTGTTTAACGTCCGTGAGACGGTGTGTGTTTTACGTCCGTGAGACGGTGTGTATGTTTTACGTCCGTTGGACGGTGTATAAAGGTGTGTGGCCTAGAGGCCTTTGTGATATTTGAAATTTTAACGGTCGCGCATGTGGTTTTTAGTTTAAGTCGGATTATCGCGAGCAAAATTTTGCCGAAGGCTTTAATTTAATTACGGCAGAAATGCAAAGGGTTGCGCAGTACGTTTTCTGCGTCTTTCACTGGACGTTGGGGCCGGATGATGACGAAATTAAAAAAATTTGAAACTTTGAAGAGCCTCGTAGTGGCCAGGCCGGTGGCTCAGGCGTCACTCCCAAAATGTTTTATGCCGGTGTTTTAGTGTCGGTGCGCGCGCAGAGCGCGAGACGGCAGCTCTGGTGCTGCCGCCGCAGAGTTGATGTAGTGTAGCATGTGTTGTGTCGGCAACACAGATTCATGACCATACAGTGATGGTAAATTCTAATGCAACAATTTAGTAGAATATATTAAAAATTATTAGATTGTGTGATTGGAAAGTCTTTTCTTTTTGAATTATTGGAATATATTGAAAATGAGAAAATAAAATGATTCAATAGCTAAAATTTGCCTTGAAATCACAATTAACGAATAAATTCTTAAGATTGTAAGGTAAATGTCTGAGTTTAAACCCCATTGACAAACATAAAAGTGACAACATCCGTCAGTTTTTGAAAAATACATTTTGAAATGCGTTTAAACATGTAAACCTATAGACAATCCTATTTACAACCTTATATTAAATACAAAAATTAAAATTATTCATAATCATCACATTAACCACATGAAGTTTGGTAGAAAAGGTATACATAGTACATTACGATACAAGTGCGGGAAAATAGATTCTTGTCTCGTGTGGCGATTACGCCTGAGCGAAGCGAGGGTGGAAAGGTACACGAAACGAGAAATTCTTTCCCGAACATGTGCCGTACCGTATTTTTTGATACGACGTGTGGAAAGTGCGATTTTCAACGTACGTTTTTTGCCAAGCGTGCGGGAAAAACGCACTTTCCGCACGGAGTGTCGAAAAATAATTTCCGCTCAGTCATGTTTACCTTTCATTTTCTACTCATGTACAAATTCAATGTATCATTTACTTTGAAATTATAATGCATACGCATTGACTTCTGTTAAATGTTGTAGCTTTGACAATTAAAATTCAAGTTATGAAATACGTTAAATATAATTTCATAATATTTATAACGTTTACACGCTCAGGTGAATCATAAACAATTTTCTCACCGGCTTATTTATGCCGATTGATTAAATATATTTAATATTAAAACAAAAAAAGTTTAATATCTCAGCTGAAATGTCATTAGCAACGTAAGCGAACAAATTCACGTACCGTTAAAATGATATCGTTGCATACAGTGTGAAGTTGAGGAAAAACTATGTTTTTAGTTTTATAAGGTAATATTAATACCTTCGCAGTAATTTGATTAATATTCCAACTTATATTAGAATTATTTTGATTCTTTTTAACGAGGTTGATTCAAAAATTTTATAGAGAAACAAGGATGCTCATAGAAAGAACCGATTATATCTAATTTATTGCCAATCAAATATGTTTGATTATTACATTTCACAAAATTGGAAACTTTTACGACATACTATCAATGTATATATAGTTGTTTTTGTCGTCGTCACAATTGATCTTAAATGAATTAAAAATTCCAATTTTATACTCGAATTCATTTACAGTATCATTTCTTAAAGGGCCGTGATCGTGCTCTTGTCGAAAAGATAGCATATTTTTTAAAATGAAAGGCGACGCTTTATTTTTTACAGCACCGATCAGCCTATGGTGTTTCCGGATAATTCTTGAATTTGTCAATGGCAGCATATATATTTTTAGAAAAAGTGATTATAATTATTTAATAAACAATCTGCAGATGCAGACAATTAAAACGGAAAATTAATACAGATTTTGTGTCCATCTAATCCGGCTTGGTGAGAAACCAATTTAGCCTAAAAATTTTAACATATACATTCATTAATTGGAAAATTAGAGTTGATATCAATTGAAAATCTACGAAGAATTTTACAACTGCGTCTCAAAAATTTAGATTTTTCAAATGCTTTTCATTATCTAGAAATTTTCTTAATGTAATTGCAGGGAATTTTTTTCTAATATTATCTCATTTTTAACCTAACCGCGAAACTCTCACCTGCAAATTTTTGTAAATGTATGGTGTTCATGATTTTGTACTGGTTAGCAATGACTTCTTTAAATCAAACTTAAAATACATGAGTTTTATTTTTTAAGTAATATATTATGTAATGACCCTACAAATTTGCAAATAGATAAATAAATACCGTTCAGAATATTCGATGGTAATTATTATACATAAACATTAACAAC